ATTTGTCATCCTCTTCATTGTTTACCAAAAGATTTTGAGCAGCTGCATTGTCTCCCAGATCCGGTACCCGGAGATGACTTGTATTACATGTCATTTGAAGAACTATATGGCATGCGAACAACAGAAAACTATAGGCCTTCATTTATAAAATCTGAACCGAAAAAAAAAGCAAACAAAGCAAAAACAAAACATACTATGCCATTTAGTCCCTCTGCAGCACATGCTAAAAATGTTGGTATCACTGTAAATTGCGTCGAGTGCGAGAAACCACGTCTTTTATTTAGTGCAAAGAAGATTTCAGAAAAAGACAAGTTATTGTTGCAAAGATTTTTAGATACGATCTTCTACACTTGTGATACATCATTTTATAACACATGCGACTTGGCGATGACCGTACTACCAAAACAACAAGATGTTGATGACGTTACGGAAGATGATGTTAGTTCTGAGAAAGGCGATAAGGAAGTTGATCAAGAAAATAATAACGAGGTTAATGAAGAAGTTAATGAGGAAGAAAATGATTCAACTGAATCTGAAAGCTCAGATAATAAAGAGCCTGATGAAATTGCTGAGGAATCTGATGAAGATGTAGAAGCATCTGATACTAATGCGAAGGATTCTATTTATGAACTTTTTTTAAAAGTCTTTGTTAATGATTCATTAACTTGTGCGACCGAAATTGAAAAGCCATACTATTCCGCTAAAATTTATCCAGACGTTTGCATTCACTGTAGGTGCCTGGATGTTTCCGGATCATTAAATAATGAGTATCCATGTTGTAGTGATTGTGGAGGCAATTTTACTAAATAATCTTCAAAGCAGTCTAGAGCTAGTAAAAAAAAGCGAAAGCGTATTAGAACTTGATTTTTATTTATTTGTTTCTAAAAAGTTTTGATTTTATTTTATAAATCATTTAAATATATCTATTTTAAATCTAAAGTTTAGTATATTTACCCTATAAAATCTTTGCTGTATTTTTTTTTAAAAAATATATATTTTTTTATATGTAATAAATTTCTTGCAGTAGAACTTAATATATAATTAAATCTATTTGTCATGTGAGTTAAAATGGATAAATCCTATTGGTTAGCTATATTAAAAAAAAAAAAAAAAAAATCTTAGATCTTGTCTTACCCGACCTGGCCGGGATATGAAAATCAACTATATAAATTTGTGGTGCCTTACAGTGTAATTTTCTCTGTTCAAGATATGTGTGAAACTAAAAATTTAGTTTCACACACATCGTGAATAGAGAAAATCAATTAGAAAACAAACAGCCCAAGCTGTCTATTCTCCTTACAAAACTCTTTTTTCAATCTTAGTTGCCAACAACTCATTAACAATTCTATACACATTATCAACTGCTCTATCTACATTTTCATTATATGTATCTATTCTATAATTCATTTCAACTTCTCTTCCCAAAAGATCAACATTAAGAATATGTATGTTTTGTGTGTAATAAACATACATACCAAAACAAATAAACATTAAAAAAATGATAAAAATTAAAATTAAAATAACATTTTTATAAAATATTAAAATGTTTATTAATGATTTTAATGTGTGGTTTAATGTTAAAACCATCTGTTCAAGAGAACAGATTCTGTTCTCATATTCTGAGAATTCATGTGCAATTCTCTCCGTTAAGTGATTTCTCAACTCTAAAATCAACAAACAAATTGGTTAAAAAAATTATTAGTTAATTATTAATATTAATTAACATTACTCTCTTCAGAATTAGTAACTTCTTGAGTCATTTCAATTTCTTCAGCATAAAGTAAAGACATTTTTCAATAATTTAATTTTTATTTGTTATAAAATTACAAAATTTTGAAGTTAAAAATTATAAAATTTGTTAGATTTATATACTAGAAGTTCTTAAAGAAACTGCTTCTTGATAACTAGATGGTGCGTCAGATATGTTATCAGCTTCAACTTCCAAAGATGAAGATCTTCTCAAAATAGTGATTCTTTCAATATTTTCCATAATGTATTGTATAATAATAAGTGTGGAAATAATAAAATAAAGTACGTATAAGAACATGTAAATCCTAGAGAATTTGAGAAAATTTTGCAAAAAATTTTGAAAAATTGGGAGTTGCCTACCACAAAAACGGTTGATCTTATACTTAGAATCGAACGAAAGAGAATAAGACCGCATAAGGCTATTGTTTGTCTCTCCAAATTTAGATTCAATGGAGAGATTGGGTGAGCATATTTGAATGCATGTGGCTTGTATGAGACTGCATGAACAACCAGAAATTAGCTTGTATCACACATGCTTATCAGATAACAGTATCAATTAACTAAATCAAGACTCATTCTATTAGATTATTATTCATTTTCTTTGTTGATCAGATAAGAACATTAAATTTAGATTCATTCTTAGTCAGAAACATCGTATGATTTTGTTGATCAATTAGTAATTCAAATTAGTCATTCAAATCACCTTATTGGTGCTTGTTGAGTTCTAATTTTCATTTATCCAGATTGTGTTTTCGATAAAATGCCTTTGAGAATTCTGGCAAATTCTCTTAATTCAAACACAAAATATCAAACTATTACAAATTTCCATCTAATCAACAAGAAGTTTTCGAGACTCTGTATGAGAGTGAGGCGAGTACTTAGTAATATTTTGCTAAAGATGTATCATCTTGTTAATCATTTTGATATATGAATAAGTAACTAGTGATGATGATATCTAAATGTTTATGCTAGTAACGAGTATGAAATTACTTGCTTAGATGCGATCGTGTCTAACATTTTATTGTATTTTTAGGAAGAGGAGAGCTATTCTCAAAGCTTACAAAATCTAAAACGCAAACAAGAAGAGGATGATTCAATCGACTTTGAATTGCGAGAAATGAAGATATTTCAAACAACAAGAAAGGTTTACAAGAAGCTCAAAGGTCATTCAGATATTGACAAAAATGATTCAGAGACGCAATTTTTGTGGTCTGAATATTATCATGTGTTTGGAAAACTAAATCCTTTGAGCGAATTTGATCATACATGCGTGGGTAGAATCTTAAAACCTAAGAAGAAAATAAAGTTGAAACACATGAAAAAGGTTGTTGAAGATGATTTAAATGAAGGGGTTATTGGTAAAAATGATATTAGATTTATTGCTAGGAATGCCAGAATTACCAGATCTGCATTCAAGTATTCTAGACGTAAGCAGATTTTTGTTCTAGAAGTTTTAAAGACTATAGATGACGTTGTTGTATTGTATAAGCTTTTCAAACATAATAAAGAAACCTTTTTAACGTAAAATTTATTATTAAATAATTGTGTCATTTGATTTGTAAGTATTTCTTTTAAAAAAGACCTGACATTTGGTATAGTTACCAAATGGAGGGATAGTAGAACCAGTTAATTAGGGGTTTTAGAAAGTATATCATAGATTTAAATATGTATATTCTGGAATAAAAAAGAGATAAATTACAGTTTGGAAAAGTGATAAAATTGTTATATTTAGAGTTGTTAATAGATTGGGTTGAAGTGAGTTGGGTTGAGCTATTCTTTTACTTACTCCAACACAGTTTGAGATTACTCTAAAGCCACTTTAGTTTTGCTTAAAGCTGCTTCAGTTTACTCTAGTTTTATTCTAGCATATTTTTATCTTACTTCAACTTGAGTTGGGCTTACTCTGAAGCTGTTTCAGAGTATATCACTCTATTAACAACTCTAGTTATATTGTTTTTAGCTAGTTGTATAAAATAAAAAAGCAGAGTATAGTTGTGAGTTTTCTAATAATATAAGAGAAGTTATATAAAATTTTTAAAAATAAAATTAAAAACTAGTTTGTTAAACTATTTTAAAATTTTTATATTATAAAACCAATTTATTAAATTTGTATAACCTTATTAATAAGAATAAATATATATACAAAGTAAAGCAAGTTATATCAAATTATTATATACAAAATTAAAAGTAGAGAGTATACAAATTACTTTTCATATTAATTATATAGTAGATTATTTTATAATAGTATATTAATTGTGGTTATATATTATTTATATATATTGTACTATACAAATAAATCTTGTACTGCCCAAAAAAATTTCTAATAACAAATCAAGTGTTTATTATATAATACTCTCTATTCTTAAGTAATATTATATATAGTATATATAAAAATTTATATTGTATTGGCATATATACTTGCTATAATTTTAATACTGTAATAATTTAATTATATAGTAATATATATTATTATCGAATAAATTTTTAGTATTAATTTCTCAAATATATAAATATTAGTATAATTACTTTTAAATTGCTATTTCTACTATAGTAATTTGCTATTTTTATTATAGTTATATGAGATTTTCTATTTTTAGATAATAATATAAAAATACTTATAATTTAACTTTATTTTTAAATTTTAATATTACTCTAACTCTAAAACTAATAAGTAGTTTTTTTTTTCAGCTCTAAGAAAAGTTGTAAAGAAGATTTTTTTGGTTTTAATAATGGTTAAATTATTAAAATTAGCCTGGTAAATTTTAAGATATTTGAGATTAAAGATATAAACATAAAGATTTACAAATTTACTATTATACAAAATATTATAAACTATAATACTCTTGTTATAGAATGGATTGGATATCTCTACAAGATCCAGAAGATCTCTATAATTATAATATCATTAGTTAAACATAAAAAATTGACCATTGATTGAAATAGCTGATTCGACCTTAATTTAGCTATTGAATAGTTATAAATAAATTAACAAGAAATTAACTACCAATTGCTAACTAATATTTGGTATATAATATACAAAAATTCGATAATCAAATTCAAATCAAATTAGCTATTTTAATTGGTAGATGAATACTATAACAAATTTGACAAGGAATCAACTACTGATTGCTAACTAATATTCGATATAATATAAAAATTCAATAACCAAATTTAGATTGAATTGGCTATTTTAATCAGTAGATGAATGCTATAACAAATTTGACAAAAAACAACTACTGATTACTAACTAATATTCAGTATATAATATACAAAAATTTAATAACCAAATTTAGATCAAATTGGCTATTTTATTCAGAAATAAAATACTATAATAAATTCAACAAAAAATCAACTATCAATTACTACAATTTGATACATATTTTTCAAAGCCAAAAATATAATTCAAGCTAAAAAATATTAAAGAGAAAAATCAAAACCTACCTGATAAAAAAGAATAGGTAGTAATTAAATATATTTAGAATCAAAAACAACCAACAATATATAGTGATTACTTTAAAGCCAGAAAAATAATTCAAGCCAAAAAAATATTAAAAAGAAAGATTAAAATCTACCTGGTAAGAAAAAATGGGTAGTAGTTAAATATATTTAGAATCAAAAACAATCAACAATATATAGTAATCACCCAAAACTAGAAAAATAATTTAAGCCAAAGAAATGTCAAAAGATCAAAATCTACCTAGTAAGAAGGAATAAATAGTAGTTAAATATATTCAGAATTGAAACCAACTAACAATATATAGTAATTACTCAAAGCTAAAAAAATAATTCAAGCCAAAGAAATATCAAAATATCAAAACCCACCTAGTAAGAAAGAATAAGTGGTAGTTAAATATATTCAAAATCAAAACCAACTGACAATATATAGTAATCACTCAAAGTTGAAAAAATAATTCAAGCTAAAAAAATATCAAAAGATCAAAACCCACCTAGTAAAAAAGAATAGATAGTAGTTAAATATATTTAAAATCAAAAACAACCAATAATATATAGTGATTACCCAAAGCCAAAAAAATAATTTAAGTCAAAAAAATGTCAAAAGATCAAAACCTACCTAGTAAGAAAGAATAGATAGTAGTTAAATATATTTAGAATTGAAAACAACTAACAATATATAGTGATTATCTAAAGCTGGAAAAATAATTCAAGCTAAAAAAATGTCAAAAAATCAAAACCCATCCGGTAAGAAAAAATAGGTGAAAGTTAAATATATTCAAAATTGAAAACAATCAATAATATATAGTAATTACCCAAAGCTGAAAAAATAATTCAAGCCAAAGAAATATCAAAAGATTAAAATCTACCTAGTAAGAAAGAATGAGTGATAGTTAAATATATTTAGAATTAAAAACAATCAACAATATATAGTAATTACCTAAAGCCAAAAAAATAATTCAAGCTAAAAAAATATTAAAAGATCAAAACCTACTTGGTAAGAAAGAATAAATAGTAGTTAAATATATTTAGAATCAAAAACAACTAACAATATATAGTGATCACCCAAAGCCAAAAAAATAATTCAAGCCAAAAAAATATCAAAAGTTCAAAATCTACCTGGTAAGAAAGAATAGGTAGTAGTTAAATATATTTAGAATCAAAACCAACTAACAATATATAGTGATTACTCAAAGTTAAAAAAATAATTTAAATTAAAAAAATATCAAAAGATTGAAACCTACCTGGTAAGAAAGAATAGGTGATAGTTAAATATATTCAGAATCAAAAACAATCAACAATATATAGTGATTATCCAAAGCTAGAAAAATAATTTAAGCTAAAAAAATATCAAAAGATTAAAACTTATCTGGTAAAAAAAAATAAATAGTAGTTAAATATATTCAGAATCAAAAACAACTAACAATGTATAGTGATTACCCAAAGCTAGAAAAATAATTCAAGCCAAAAAAATATCAAAAAATCAAAACCTATCTGGTAAGAAAGAATAGGTAGTAGTTAAATATATTTAGAATCAAAAACAACCAACAATATTATAATAAAACTTTTAAATTGGTTAACAATTAATTGAAAGATAGAAATGTTAATCAATAAGCAGCATCTTTGTTGATTATTAGCAATACAAATTAGAATCAATTGATGCTAATTAAAATTGATTAATATTGATTAGTATCACTTGATTGAAAATTGTTTAGTATCAAAACAAATTAAAATCAATTATTTTTAATTGATTATACATCAATTAGAAACCAATATTGATTATTATTGATTTTTCTAATTGATAGCAATTGCCCTTATAGCTAGTAATTGATATCCACCCTATTTAAAAATTTTCAGATAATATAGTGATTACCCAAAGCTGAAAAAATAATTCAAGTCAAAGAAATAGTGAAAAATTAAAACCTATCTGATAAGAAAGAATAGGTGGTAGTTAAATATATTCAAAATTTAAAACAACTAACAATATATAGTAATTATCCAAAACTGAAAAAATAATTCAAGTTGAAAAAATATTGAAAAATCGAAACCTACCTAGTAAGAAAAAATGGGTAGTAGTTAAATATATTCAGAATTAAAAACAACTAACAATATATAGTGATTACCCAAAGCCAGAAAAATAATTCAA